AACATTCAAATATTTCCCCCAGACTTTTGTGATTTAGTTTTGTTCCTTTTTGTTTTTGCTCCTGTGTTCGGGGCGAATGATTACTTTTTGGGGGTTTTGTTTTGTTTTTTAGTTTCACACTGTGCAGAAGGGGAAGTTGAGTGAGGGTCCGCTGGGGGTGACTTTGACGTTTGAATCTCCATACTTCAATGAAAAAAGGACAGAATTGACTCACTCCAAGTTTACAGTTCATTACTCATTTGTTTGCCGTTTTCAAAAATGGCCCCAAATGTATTTCACATCTCAAAAGCAGCAGCAGACATACCATGGTGAGTGTGAAGACTAGAACAAGGGATTTACAGTGTCGTGTTCTCTGTTTCATGTGAGATGCAGAAAACAGCCAATTCTTGACGAAATTTTTAAGCGAGCTGGTTGACAGAAGCTTTTTTTAAAATGTTCCGAGTCTACTGACGAGTCGTTTTCCACACTGGTCCAACGGTATATTGTCGCTAGCTGTTTAAATAATAAATTATGCTCAAAATCTTGATTTTTTTTAATAATGCAGTTTTTCAATCTGTGGTATTGACTGCATGAGCTAGAGAAATTTTATTTCGTCAAAATTAAAATTCTAATCACTAAAAGGGTTAGATTAGCGGACTCGTAATCATGAGGTTGCGGGTTCGGGGGTTTGAGGCTCAGGCCCAATATGGTGTCCTTGGGAAAGGCACTTTACAAGAATGTTCCTCACTTCACCTATATAGACAGCAAAAGATCTTGTCAGTATGTTAGTGTTTTAGCGACTATAAAATGGCAGCTTGCACTGTATGCTTCCCAAGAGGTTGAGATTCTTTCAGAATGCCATCAAGTTTTCTTGGGTAATCAGTAATAATATCGCTTGAAACACGCATATATAGTGCTTGCTGTTGAGCTGGAATTTGCACTATTCATATCGCTACCTCAGAACTGCAATGTTCTATTTGACATTTTTGGCCGTTTTGAGTAGCTAAGACCATGGGATCAGAAAGGAGAGGCTCTGTCTGCTCTATTAAAATCTTAAGAATATTCGGAGTTGCTATCAAGATATTCAAATAATTGCATTCAAGAAAGCTTGACATATCGCTACCTCAGAATTACAAAGTTCTATCTCACAGTTTTGAGTTACTAAGACCATGAGGTCAAAAAGCAAAATCTTTATCGGCTCCGTCAAAATCGTAAGAATATTCCGGATCGCTAAAAACGATATCAAAGAATTGCATTCGAGAACGCCTGACAAATTGTGAAACTAAAAAACGTTGCCATCAAATTTCTCAAACCTAGGAACTGAACAGACAGAACTTTGTGATTCTGAGGTAGCGACATGCTATCTATTACAACTAGCACGTCTTCCTTACCTGCACTCTGCAGCATGGCCCTGTTGGCACCCTGAGTCCCCGACGTCGTGGTCCGGCTGGGACGAGATGACCGCTCCCTGCCTGGCTTAGATGATGACCGCTCCCCGCTGTCCGGCTCCCTCCGGCCCTGGGAGTGGGAGCTCCGGCTGCTGTGTCTGCTCTGACCGCTGGTCTGGGACGACCTGGACAGGCCACCGCTGCTGGCGCCAGACAGGCGGGAACTGCTGGTGGCCAGCTGGGAGCTGCGCGAGTGGTGGTTGTGCTGTAGCTGTTGTTGCTGATGCTCCTGGTGTTGATATTGCTGCTGTAGCTGTTGATATTGCTGCTGCTGTTGATACTGATCTTGCTGTAGCTGATGTTGATGCTGCTGTTGATGTTGATGCTGCTGTTGATATTGCTGCTGCTGCAGTTGCTGACCCCAAACGTGCTGCTGGTGCTGTGAGTGATAATCAAGCTGACCACCACCGCTGAGGCTTTCCAAGCTGTGCTGCCAAGGGTGAGGGTTCGAGCCCGAGTTGCCCCATTCCGCTCTCATCAGGTGAGACGACGAGCCCAAGTTTGAACCGGAACCCCCAAGATTCACTTGTCCGGAATTATGATTCGTAAGTGAGGAGGAAGACCCCTTGGACTTGGAACATTTCTTGGACTTTTTCTTCTCTCCCGGTACGAGGAACTTGTAAGCCTCCTGATACGTGGGCGGGGGAGAGAGGGGCCGAGACAGGCTATCAGACGAGGGCGCTCGTATGTTGTGGTCTGTAAACTGTCTGTCAGTGGACACCGGGTAGGAGGGACGGTGGTCGTGGTCAGCCTGATCCTGAAGATAAGGGAAAAAATCACATGAAAATAGAAGGCATAGAAGAACAAAATCAAAACAACAATGCAAAGTTAATTCGTCAAATTGACTGTTTATCATTTTAAAACTAACCCAATCATCTATTGGAGATGAGGATATAACGGCCAAAGATTGGAGATTTTACAGGTAAGTAACATGCAAACTATAAAAGAAACAGAAGAGACTAGGACAATATGTTTAATAAGAAAGAAGAAGAACACCACACAAGAGTATCCCCCACCACCATACACAGACACCATGTCAGAGCACCTCCCCCCCTCCCCCCTCACACACACGCATAAACATACCCATCCATCCACACACCATATCTACGACAATAAATAAGAACTTAAATTCAAACAGACAGTTTAGTTTTAGTAAACGTTTTACGGCACTTGCAACACAATAAGGTCACATAAGTGCCAAAGATTAGAAGTGTTACAAGAGAGTAACAAATGCAAAAAAGAAGGAGGGGAGATAAAGAGGATAGATGTTTGATAGGAAAGAAAAAGTAAACCACACCGCCAACCGCCCACTCAAACAGAAAGTGTAGGGAAAAAATACCAAAATCAAAAACACCCGACTAACAAACTCAACAAAAACAATATTCTACTCACAGTGTAGAGCTGCAAGTGCTCACTCTGAGGAGGTCCAAGGACACGGTGAGCGCCGGGCACACTGTCAAAGGACAAAGCTCGGCCTCCCTGCATCTTGTGCCGTGAGCTGTGGGGGGTGCTCAACTCGTGGGTGGAGGAACGTCTGGAGATAACCAAAGACAGGTCAATTACTTAGTTTTCGTTTTAGTAAGGTTTTACGGCGCTCGCAACTGTATAAGGTCATAATGTGAGCGCTAAGGGGTGGATGTCAACAGAGAAGTCCAAACGGGGAATCAGGCTTACTCTGCTCACCTCTCTTGCCTAAACAGCACAAAGTCTGCTTCGACTGTCAAGGCACCCCGGAAATAGCAGTTCACAAGAGTGTCACAAACAAAAGAAGTAGAGGTAAAAATGATGATAGTAAGGATGAGGAAAGAAAAAGCAGCAGTTTCCCCTATGTTGTTCCGACGCAGTATGAGCATGACATTGATAAATAAGCCCATTTACAATTCTACTGTGTATAAGAACATATTAGTATCCCCCCTTTGGGAATGGCTTAAAGAACCTTCAGTCAGTAGCACTGCCCTGGAAGGGGGGGGGGGGGGGGGGGGCTGACGCTACCTTAAAATTACAAAGTTCTATCTGACATTTTTAGCCGTTTTGAGTTTCTATGACCCTGAGGTCAGAAACCAAATTAAATGCTCTAACAAAACGCAGACAGAAAGAACAGAAATTAATTCTTCGACAATCATGATTTACTCGTCACGACCACTACTTACTGCGATGTTAGAGATGACGTGACAGCGGCCGAGTCCTCCAGGCACATCTCCAGGCCCACAGTGCTGACCCCCGCAGACACAGAAGTCTTGGACACAGTGCCGGTCTCTGGCACGGATCCGAACCCCTGCCCCCCGCGGTGGTGACCCCCCTCAGACTCAGTGTCGGAGTTGAGACTGTCATAGACGGCAGAGCCGCTGTCGGCGTCCCGATACAAACCATGGGTGCTGCCCTCCTCTTCTTCCTCCTCTCCATCCTCGTGAGGTATCGAGCCTGCAGTCGCTGCAGCAGAACTGCCAGGAGAGGTGTCAGCTGATGATGACGGAACAGATTGACCTTCGGCACAGTTGGTGCCCACAGACCTGGAGTAGGCCGCCTCCAGGGAGGTCATGGAGGTCACAGAGTTCATGGAGGTCACAGAGTTCATGGAGGGACTGGGGCTGGGAGCCGCGCACAGCTCTACCAGCTGGGAGGAAGAAGTGGTGGTCAAAGGCAGGAGAGGTTTCCTTCCGCCTGACGCGGACGTGGAGGTCAAGGACGACACCCCACGGTCACGGCTACTGAGGGAGGTACGAGTGGTGGAGTACTCTTTCATCTTGTCGAGGTCCGTAGTGTTTGTGCCAGAACTCTGGTTCCAAGATGTACGTTCGCTCACCGCTGACTCAGTTTCTTTCTCTAGTTGTGACGTTTCTTCAGTTTCTTCGCCGTGGAGCTCATAGTTCTCCGATCTTGTCACTTTGTCCTCTCTAGTTGGAGAACAGTTGTGAGTCCCACTTGTGTGTAGGCCACCGTCTGTGAAGCGTGGAGGTAGAGGTGTGTTCTGTGTGAGGCTGTCATTGTTGTACTGATAAGAGATCTGTCGAGATTCTAATGTCTGGAAGTCAGGGTGGTACGAGGCCAGGAGTAAAGAGTCGAACTCCTGAGAGGGGGCAGCGGGGGAGGAGGAGGAGGCAGCAGCGTCAGTTCTGGTGAGAGGAGATCTTTTGCTGTTTGTTTCCAGAGCTGGAGGAGGGGGGAATTCCTTGACCACGGGGGAATCGGTTAAATCAGTCAAATCTTCCGCACACCCATTTTCATCCATCTTCTCCTCCGTGAAGACTTCGTCGATATAAGCAATGCCACTCTGTTGGCTCGGGGACCGCTGTAGACCGGACAGACTGTGGGGATTGACTATAGTGGCGGGAGATGCGGGGGGCACGGCGCTATGGAGAGACGCCGGCGAGTTCTTCAACTCTGTCACCACAGACTGGCCTAACGACGAGGGCGAGCGTGCGTCTTTGCCGCGTGCTGCAATGCCTTTCTGGGGCTTTCCTGGACTGTGGGGGACTCCTAACCCTGAGGAGGCTGCAGGCCGAGCTGGGCTATAGTTCGCGAGACTAGAGTTCGATTCGTGTCGCTTTTCAACGATTGGCGTGTTCTGGGGTACCATCATCGTGAAGGAAGACGTTGCTGATGGCGTGGAGAGCTGCGGCCTGAGAGCCCAACCGTGAGATCTATGGGCACTACTATCATGGGGAGGGGTAGAAGAACTACAGGACATCTGACGGCGATGGTTCGGGGAGGACCTTGAGAGATTGAGAGAACACTGGGAGCGATCGGGGGAGTACTCTAAGCTGTTGTACATATTGCCGCGCAGATCCGACGTGGCCTCGGTGGCTGATGAGTTGGCGCTGCTTCTGCCGCATGAACTGGCGGCATGACGCCGACCGTTGTCACCAAACAACTTGGCAGAACTGAAGGAACTGTTGGCGCTGTGATCTGAGGACGACAGGTCGAGAACACGTGACGTCCCCGTCGCTGCTAAGGGGAATAGGCTGCTGCTGTTGTCGTTGTTGTTGTGGTGATGTTGACCACCACGCGTGACATTACGTTGGGTGTCCTGTGGGTGGAAAAGGCCACTGCTGTTGGCCTCCCCCTCCCCGACATCATGAGGGTGAGCGGTGACCAAAGGGGTTGAGGCCTCACCCACGCGCAGACGCTTGTAGGGGCTGATGAGTCCTCGAGGCTCGTCCCCACACTCCGAGCTACCCGCTCTGTACATCTCGTCGTCTCTGATTCTGTTCCTGTTTCTATCTCTGTTTCTATCCCCGTCTCTGTCTCTGTTTCTATCCCCATGTCCGTCTCCACCGGAAGCGAGGGGGAGAAGGAGGCTGCTCTCAAGGTCACTGTCTTCCCCGGCGTCCTCGGGGTCACTGAGTGCAGCAGCCAGCTCTCGCCGCTTGAGACACTGGTCCATCACCGAGCTGTGATGAGAAAAAAGAGAAGATTATGATGATATTACAGTAGGGTACTTGTACAGGTTTAACACGCTCTTTAACACTGCAAGTGTACGGTTGTTGGTTTTTTTAAGATTCACTACAGATAATACGAGGCCGAAACGTCGTCAGCTTCACGCAACACCCGTCACGTTTTCGAGTCGGTACAAGGCCAAGGAAACCGTCTGAGTATAAAGTTATTTATTTAAGAGGCGAGACCTCAAATTTTATGTCCATCTCGAACAGAACTGAGCCAAGTACACGGAGAACCTTCACAACTCCCCACACTACTTTCAGTAAGTGAAAGAAAGTTCCGTAAGATATTCGAATCATGGTCATCAACACCATAGCCCAGCATGATAAGAACTGACCTAACGGTAAGGAAGACAGCAGTATGCATGTGTGTAAGTTGGTTAGTCTGTTTGCTGCGTCAGTATTCCCGACACCTCTGAGCAAATTAGAACGCTTCGTTTGTTCGTTTATGTAGAAATAAGCACAATGACACAGCACTGTTAGTGCCATTTTATTAATACAGAAAGGAGGCATGGGCGGGAATGAAACAATCATTTGTAAACGTAATTGTCTTGGACAGGGGGTCGTTAAAACAGGTTCGACCGTATCTTTTCAGTTTTAGTACAGGTTGTTCGGCGCTCGCAACTGCATAAGGTCATATGAGCACCAGAAGATTAGAAGTGTTACAAGAGAGTAACAAACATAAAAAAAGAAAAGGGGTGGATAAGGGCAATAGATGTTTCATAGGAAAGAAGAAGCAAACCACACCAGAGCAGCCGCCAACCACCCACCGACTGACTGTATCCGCCCACAACTCCTCGCGACTGTAAAGCTTAAAATATAAAGACACGTTCACGGAAGGAGCAGGGTACGATGACGTCGAACGATCACGAATATTCAACTCTGAATTAACAAATAACGTGTGTGTGTGTGTGTGTGTGTGTGTGTGTGTGTGTGTGACCTTTTATG